CCCCCCCCCGATCCATCCACCCTCACGCACAGATGGCCGAGTTCGCGTCCGACTCCGTGGAGGCCAGCAGCCCCGGCGGCTCGCAGCCGGCGGCGGCCGGCACGCCGCCGGTCAAGCGCCCAAGCTCGCTGTTCATCGACAGCACGGCGTCCATCAGCCCGGATGGCGCGGGCAATGTGGCGGCGTCGCCGCTGTCGCTGCGCCTGCCGCCGCCCCCGCGGTCGGCCCACTCGCCGCTGATGTCGCCGCTTTCCGGCGGCGGGGCCAACCCCTCGGCGCGGAACTCGGTGATCTTCGTGCAGCCGGCCTTCGGCTGCGCGGAGGCCGCGGCCGATCCGGACCAGCCGCCGCCGGAGCGGCCCCGTCGCCTGGAGCACATTCGCCTGCTCCCGCCGAAGCCGGCCGCCACCAAGGCCCTCAGCGAGGAGCTGGCGGCGGCACAGGCGCGGGCGGCGCGGCAGGCGGCCGAAGCGGCGGCCGCCGCCTCGGCCGCTGCCTCCTCCTCGCCCAGCGGCGGGTCCTTCTTCAAGAGCCTGTCGCTCAAGCGGTCGGCCAGCACGCGCGCGGCCCCGTCCAAGGGGTTCTACGCCAATCGCGATGCCTTCGGCGCGAGCTTCGTCGATGAGGCCGGTGCGCGTGTTGGGGGGGATGGCGGTGCCGGCCCCGGGGCCACCCTCGGCGCGGCCACCTCCTCCACCAGCATCTCCTCCACCGGGTCCGGCGGGGCGTCGGATTTGGCCGCCCGGTCGCACCTGCTGGCCCGGCTGGCGGATCTCGGCATCTCGCCGCAGCTGCTGCGCAGCCCGCTGCTGGATGGGCGCCGCACCGACGAGAGTGTGGTCGACCTGCTGGCCGGGCGCCAGCACTTCATGTACAACTACTTCGGCAGCGAGCTGACCGGGTTCTCGGTGCTGCCGGACTCCCTGACGGAGGCTGGCGGTGGTGCGGCCGGCGCCGAGGCCTCCGACTCGGCCTCCGCCACCGGGTCCCTGTCCACCTCGGCGTCCATGGTGCTGGAGGACAACCGGGCGCCCACTTCCAGTGCCGGCGCGGCCGCCTACTTCGTGGGCTTCACCGGGCTGGTGGATGCGCTGCGCGCCTCGCGCAAGGAAACCCGCGATGTGGTGTCCTACCTGCGCACGCGTGCCCAGTATGAGGACGAGTACCACCGGAACTTGCACCGGGTCACCGCGTCGGCCTACAATGCCAAGGGGTTCCGCCTGCCGGAGCCTCCGGCCGGTGGTCGCGCGGAGCCGGGCAAGCGCGGCGCCCAGCTGGCCGCCCCGGCCTCCCTGGAGGATCTGGCCTCCGTCGGCGGGGAGAGCGAGCTGGCCGGCATCTGGTCGCAGGTACGCCCCCCCCCCCCCTTCTTTTTTTTCTCCTTGGACACCGCCCACTGTCTCGTGCCCCTCTTGGGGCCCGTTTCATGCCCTGCCCGCCCGGGCATGTTGCCGCTGTTCTTTTTCCCTTCCCTCTGTTTCGGTGTCTCACACACGTCCCCATGTGCCTGCCCATCGCCGACGTGATTCCGCCTGCATGCACGCGCAGGTCCTCCGCTCGACCACCCTCATCGCAGACCAGCACCGGCAGCTGACTCTGACCCTGATGCAGAACCTGTCCAACCAGCTGGAGGTCTTCGACAAGGAGATGCGCCGCGAGGTGGAGAACGAGTTCATGCACCTGGAGAGTCTGCACAACGACTATGCCCAGAACCTGGACGACACCAACAAGCTGAAGAAGCAATACTTCGCCCTGTCGAAGGACCTGTTCAATGCGCGCAAGGAGCTCAGCAACCCCAAGGAGCCGCTCAACCCCCGCGCCACCAAGAGTCTGCGCAACAAGATTGCCAAGCTCAACGACGAGGCCTTCCACGTGAACAACCAGTACCAGGCGGCCATTGGCCGGACCAACCAGAGCATGCTTTCCTGGGTGTCCATCCAGAAGGCCGCCTGCTCGCGGCTCCAGTGCCTGGAGACCGTGCGGAACATCCTGCTCCGGGTGCGTGTGTCTGTCTGCCTGCCTGTTTTTCTGTCTGCTTGCCTGTTTTTCTGTTTGTTTGCTTGTTTTTCTGTTTGTTTGCCTGTTTTTCTGTTTGTTTGCCTGCATGCTTGCCTGTTTGTCTGCATGCTTGCCTGTTTGTCTGCATGCTTGCCTGTTTGTCTGCATGCTTGCCTGTTTGACTGCATGCTTGCGCGCCTGTTTGCCTGCCTGAAGAGGCGGACCCAGGCATGGCGGCGG